GTTTGTGGGGGGGGGGGGGGGGGGGGTAGTGATGGCGTCGGGGGTTATACATACACACTAATTATGTAGGCTACAACACCCAGGTCCCAGGTCGGGTCGTAAGTTGCACTTGGGCGAGAGACTGGAGATGTCGCGGTACTGCTGTATTGGTGGAACCCTCGCTCTCGGGGAGAACCAAAACGCGCCGAACAAATTCTCCTCGTAGCAATCCAGGCACAAAAAGCAACACTCCAGCCAGCCGCGTTATCGCCCGGTGAGCTCCCGCAAAAGCCACTATTAATACCTACCACCTGCAGCAAACAAAAACAACAACAAACCAACCGCTTTCGCTTGGAGAGCGCTCGCCCTCGTCGAAAGCGCTGGCGGTCGGAGACGCTCACCTCGGCAAAGGAGTAGATCGATTCCGGGTCCCCGTCGCCCCCCTTCGACATCGCCACCAGGTGTCTCAAACACCGCGCCGACGGCGCCTGCTGGGACGGTGCCCCGTCTGCCCCGGCGCTCCTCTCCGTCAGTTGAACCAGCAAGACCTGTCAGGTACAGGACCCCCACGAGTAAAAAAGAAACGAAAGAAAGAATGAAAAAGACCGCCCATGAGTGTTGCGCAGACCAGCATGCGCACACCCCATGTCGGTGTCTGGGAGGCAATCGCACCCGTCGCCGTACTCTCGGGCAGGAAAGGAAAAGTGCGTGGTGTGTCCGGCGTTCTTCCGACGGCAACTTGGCCATGGAGTGAATCCGGCTTTCCACGCGGGCCCCAAGCTCTGGACACAGGGGGTGAGGTGTCTCTTTGTCACGGTCGAACAGGTAGGAGTTTGGCAAGCCAAGCCCTGTCGGCGCTACAGTATGGCCTGAACGGCCGTTGCTTTTTCGCCGCCTCTGGTTCGAACACGTCTGACTGGTAACAACGAACGGGGCAATTGCCGTGTGCACTGCTCCGGTACGGAAAAATGCCGATCAATCGGCTGTCTCTGCCACTAACACGGGCTATTTTTTTTTGCGTGTGTTCAGCTTCTCCCTGTTCGATGTGTTGGTTTGCTCTTGTGGCGATAATGGAAAAAAAAAATCTACATAGCCACAAAAAGCGAACCAACACATCGAACCGGGAGAACCTGAACACGCGAAAGAAAAATAGCCTGTGCTCCTGCCGGCAGAGCCAAAAAACCTCTCGCACTCCTCTACCTACACTGGAATGGGATCTTGTAACAAGCACAAGGCGTGAACGCTTTCGCGCACAACTCTGACGCAGCCCCCCGTTCCACTCTCTCAGCACTGCCGTACCTGGCGCGTGACTCGGTGAGTCGGCCGATGTCGCCACCCCGCCCAGTCTCCCGTTTCCCCTCCGGCCGCGGGCCTGATCACGATCGCCAGGGAACACCTCCCTGCGCGCACGGAGTCCCCAACCCTGGGCCAGTCCCGCCCCCCGGCCGCCGGCCTCCTCTCGCCCGCCCCACCGCCACCGGCGGCGCCACCCACGAACGCCGACACCGCCGAGGTCGCCCGGCCATCGACACCGCCTCCTCGACCACCACCGGTTTTCGCCGCGCCCGCTGCCGACGTTGCCGTCGCGCCGGCGTTCCACTCGCCGCTCTGTTGCCGTCCACGGAAGTAGCTCTCCCCCGGCAGGGTCGTGAAGACTCGGCCGCCCCCGGCGGACAGCGCTCTCGGAACGGTCCGCTTCCCGCACAGACCGATCATCCCCACCCCCGGACCTCCCGTCCCTCGCCCCCTCCCGCCGCTGCTGCCGCCGAAGCCCAGGGCTTGTCCGACTGTCCCACCCGCTCCCGCCGCGTCGCTACCGTCCCCTCCTCCGGCGTTGAAGACGGAGGATTTTCGGAGGCCGAGAGAGGCCGCCCACGAACGGCCTGCCCCGCCGCTGCCGCCGTTGCCGGTACCTGCTCGCCTTGCCCCCTGGCCGTCCAAAGAGGCTAACACCGCCTCAGCCGCCGTCGCTCCTAGGTTGTCGTCTGCCCCGCCGCCGCCGCCTTGTCTTCTTCTTCCTCCGGCTGCGGTCGCCTCTGCGGCACCCCCTCCTCCCAACGCTCCCCCTACTCCTCGCCCGCCCATTTCCTCGTCGACATCGTTGGAGGGATACCCACTCCCATCGCCGAAACCCCCGCCGCCGCCGCCGCCGCTGCCCCCGCCTCCTCGGCCTGGCCCCCTAGAACCCAAGGGCCGTGATGACGAATCCGGAGGAGCGCCGGCGACACGACTGCCCCACCTCTCCCTGCCCGCGCGGAACAGCCTCCTGGACGCGGACACCGCCGACGCCCAAGCGTTTCCTGGGAGGGAGGACAAGCTGGACACGCTGCCGCCGCCGTCCTGCCGAGCGTTGTTGCCGCCGCCGCCGCCGCCGTCGAAGCGGTCGGCCGGCGAGCTAGAAGCGGCAGCGGCCCCGGCGGCGGTCCGGCTGCTGCTGCTGCTGCTGCTGCTGCTGCTGCCGTTTGCGCCGCCTCGGCTCCCGCCTGCTCCTGTCGAGGCTGGCAGAAGGTGCCTAGAAAAAAAGAGCAGGGGGCGGGGAGAGGCGAAACGGAGGCTGTCTTACATACATGTGGACGGCACTGTCCCTTTGCTGATGTACTACTCCTGCGTCCACGACAACTTCCGTTGGCGAATAGACGCAAGGGTACCACCAGCGGAAGGCCGCGCAATCGACACGTGGTGATGAATCATGGCACACTGCTGCTGCGGGCTACCGCGGCGTTTCGCCTGGGGACAACGGGCTATGAAGGAAACACAAAAACTGGGTAGCGTTGAAACCCATGGGAAAGACGAGGTGCACACCTTGACAACAACACCAGCAGTACCAGACGCCAACGCTGTACACAGCCCCACCACCCAAAGCAATCCCGCCGACACTCACAGCTTCGGATGGAGGCCCATCTCCCGACCAAGCAACGTCAGGTCAACGTCCCACAGGAGCTCCACCGTGCACGCGACCCTGCAGTCCAGCACAACCGACACTCCCACCAGCGGCCCCGCCTCCGCCCTCGCCCCCAAAGCGCCCGCTGCTGCCGCGGCGGCGGGCCTCGAAGAAGAGGACGGTCGGGGAGGGGGGGGATCCACCTGGATATCGTCGCCGCTGTCGCGGGGGTGGAGGATGGCCTTCACGCCGTCGGGATCGCTCGCAACGAGCAGCGAGCAAGGCATGGTCTTCGGCGGGTACGCTTGTCTTGTGTGCACCAGGGCCTGGGTGGGCGGGCGGAGGGGGGGGAGGGGTAGGGGGGCGGGATAGGGTAGAGCAGCGGAACAGAGAAAGGTGTGTGAACATGGGGAGCCCGTGGGAATCAACACGAAAGGGTGGCGCCGCAGGCTACCGTATGCTGGTAGTGCCCGTGATTACGCCCATCGATCCACAGGCATTGCCGGGCACATACAGATACGCACGGTGCACACGGGTCGCCAATAGTAGGAATATTCCGTCACACGCCCCGCTGGTTTTAGCAGCCCCAAAAAATACAGCAGTCGTTTGAGTATTTGCTGGCGGTTGGTAGACAAAAAACCACGACCGGCTCACACAAGTGTCAAGAACACCAATAGGGCAAGGCCAATCTCCCCCGGAGGCTACCCAGAGGGGAGCCATGTCATTGCAGCTGCCTGGCTACGATGGAGATTGTCCTGAAGCCGACATGCGTCGCGTGAAAATCTCCCGCCAAAGGGTGCTGCCATCCGACACAAATCGTGTTCCTCCCTTCATACAACGGAACGTCGTCGCGAGCCCTCTTGCCGTAAAACCAGCGGCTGCGAAATCCCCACCCCCGTCTCCCCGCCCATCAACGCTTCTCAACAGGGGTGTTCCGGGTACCACTCTTGACAAATCAGAGGTAACAAATCCTTCCCCCCTCTACAGGCCTATCCGCCTATTGATAGGTAGTATTTGTCGATGTTAGCGTTTGTCGATGTTATCGGGGCCGCAAAACTTCCATATGTTCGTGAACAAAACGCAAGTCTTCGGTGCAGAGAGACAGAGTTATGGAGGGAGTCTCAACGACGCCGTTTTGCCTATCCGCTTCATGGGACACGCACACAAAATCAAGCACAACAACGGGGTTGTTGGCACACCAAGAAGAGAAGGGCCAACGCAGTGCAAATTACCTGCAAATGGTTGCGACCCAGCGCGCGCTGCAGGTAGTTTCTCCCCAGCAGTCGGAAAATGCGCACCCTTCTCCCGGCCCCCCTGATTGCCACGAGCCTCCTCGAGCCCAGCGCCCGCCGCAGCTGCACCACGGCCCAGCATCGTCGGGACGAGTTGATAATCCAGAGCAAGCCTAGGGGAATGGGGGGGAGGGGGGGGGGGGGAGAGGCGGAGTCACGTCCAACTGCTTACTATAGAGGGGTAGTTCTCTCTCCGGTTTTGCACAACTCCTGTCGTGCATGTATCGGGTTCTGCGGGAGACACACGGGAACACGGCCGTGGTTTCAAACTATGTACATGCATGCATTGTATACATAAATACCCCATCTGTTCTTGGCTATACACCCTCAAATACCAGGTATCAAATACAAGTACTACAAGTATATCCTGTATCCCATCGCTCCATTAGCGTGTCAAGACGACCCTGCGGCCTTGCTTCTCTGACGGAAGAGCTCGGACCAGAGGGACCGCACCGAAGATTTCCTCTGCTGGCTGTGTGCAGCACTACGCGTGTCGTGACGACCAAGCGCTTTCCCTGATAAAGGCATGGTACTCCGCAGGCGCTAAATGCGGAATGAGGCACCGACTTCCAAGACCTACAGCAGCAGCACATCCAAACACACGGGTTTCGCGCTACCGCCAATTTTAGACCACTGCTGTCGGCTCTTGACCAAAAAGAAAAACGATAGATGACTAAAAAAGTATCAATGAGCGCCCACGAGGTTTCATATGGCTACAGCAGTAGCTGAGTACATGGGAGCCTCTCGCCTCTACAGACTACAGTACAAACAATATTGTAAATACAGCAGTACAGCGTACCCAGCAGTGTGCACACCGGTGGACTTCGTAGGAGTACACAACAGGCGCCCCGTCGGGCAGGACAAAATGCATGCCAAGAGAGGATGCATGCATCAGGTACAATTTTGCAACAGCAATGTTTCGGCAACGACACACCCCAACAAGGCACTATCAGCAAAATGATTCCCCACGCGAAAGGCACTTTTTCATGTTCGTCTGTGCAATGTGTGCTAACGAGGAAAACAGCTGCTCGGAGGGTGCTTGTTGTAGACTATCATGTACAAACGATTATGTGTCTGCGGCGGGTCTGCAGATTACGGACCGAAAACTCGCCAAAAGGCTGAAAATGTTACCAGCACGTGAGCACAAGGAGGCTGCCTATGGTTATGATGGGCCGGGCACGTACAGCATGGAGCACGTACGTAAAGGCTGATGTGAAACATTTCGCGTACATTATTGCGTGTGTTCCGTCACATCTCCTACAATTACAAGAAAGGGTGGTGGTGTGTGGGTAAACACGAAAAGAGAAAAACAACCGTCTTGTTGTCCAAAGACCAGCCAAGGCTGCACACGCCTTGAGAAGTGGGCAAGTGGGCATACTGCTGCGGAAAGAAGGCTGCTGTTCTACTTCCTCGTTTCCTCTCTACCCAGACCAAGGAGTACGGGGGGTGAGAGAGAAAGGGTTTGCAAAAAATGGAGCTCTCGTTATCGAAGGACTTTGTTCCCAAAAGTGATGAACGAAGAAGCGAAGAAGGCTATTTACTCTCTCCCTCTCCTGCTCACCCACGAAGATAGACAGGCAGAGGAATACGTTCTGCGTCTCAGGAGGCTGGACCACCGACCCCGTCCGGCCGCTCATCCTTGCCCTCCCCTCGCTAGCCGACTCTCTTCGAGTCCAACAACAGCCGAGCGCCTGCTGTGGGTCTTGTGTAAGGAACCTGCCGGACCGGCCCTGGGCCGCATTGCGCACATTCTCTCCGACATGAGGGTAGGCAAGGTTTGGTTCTTCGATGTGCCGTCTCCCCCTCGACCCTCGTCCTCTGTTGCAACACACGACGATCCACGCCTCGCCTCCCGACGCAGCGAGAGAAGCTCAGCCCCAGAGAGACAGAGAGAGGGAGTGAAGCAGAGAAGATCGCTCCTTGAGGCAGCAGGGCTACTGGCATTGATGGCATCCCTCAAGGAAATCCTCAACCTCGACAAGGCAAGAGAAAGAGAACGGCGGTTGGACAATTGTTGCTGTTGCCGCGGGACGCGGTAATCACTTGCCTAATGTATGCGGGGCAGAGTTGTTGTCCCTTGTACCGCCGTTGCGTCCTCCAGCAGTACGTACAGCACCCCGCGAGCTCTCTCGACGCATACGATCTGGGGTGTGTCCTTGTGTTTTCGTCGCATGTATTCCGGCACCAGTCTGTGTACACCTTTCGGAATATATTTGACGTTGTATTGGTCTGATTTTATCAGCCGTGTCCAATGTGCGGCAGTACTTCTGTGTATGTGGGATCAGAAAATGGATCGCGAGTTGCCACACAGTCTCGGGATCAGAAAATGGATCGCGAGTTGCCACACTGTCTCGACCAAGGTACTCCAGTCCTCGGGGTACGTTGCTTCCAATGGATTATGACGACCTCCACTCGAGGGTATGCTTACACGCGAAGGGATTGCCATGTCGCGCGCACGCTCCGTCGCTCTCCAACTGAACACCAGCTGTTGGCTACATAGCATACGGGCAAGCGGCAAGCGGCAGGAATCATCACGACGGCAGACAGAAGCTCGCTCGCAGAAGCTCGCTCTACTGCTGTTATTTCATGTCGACACATTTTCTTGCCATGCAGCAGTACACTTCTGCACCTCCCCTGTACGGCTATACTTCGTTGTAGATGCCGCAATACATTTGCCACCGTCAGACCGCCGGCCCCAACTAACGCGGCATCCGATAACGCATGATGCTTCGTGTAAGACAATCGGATACCAATATTCAAATGTTGGACTCCGACAGTAGTAGTCTAGGCCAGTGATATGCACAGAGCAGTCTCGTGTTCATCCCAGGGTTTTCGTCTTTCACGTCTCTTCGCAAGTCTCAAGCTTGTGCACGCAGTTGGTGAGCCACATTCGTGCCGTACTGGAGCGGTTGTTTACATGTACGCCACATCAACTCATGGCTTTCCCCTCCTCGTAGTCCAGTCTCGGTTGGTCGATCCTTAAGTCGTCTGTTTTAGGGCAAGCAATAAATGAGTGCCCACCCATTCCCACCCATTTCGATCTCTTGCCGAACGGAACGATATTACGCTGTAAACAGGCAGAGCTGGTGTTCCAACGACTGGTGGAGGCGGTTGAATCCCACTCGTTAGACCTGGCGGCGGTGAGGCGAGATGTCTCCAGGAAGGCCAGCGGCGAAGACCTGCGGGGGTGAGGAGACAGACGCGGGTATTACAACAGCTTGGTATGTTCAGTAGCCGCGCCCGCCGCTTGGCAGTCAAGATATTAAGCCCCGGAGAACTCACAATCTAAGAACTTGAGCACCATTTGTGAGCTCGGTTAAGAACCTCTACACTAGAAACTAGAAGTAAATAGCGGCCATTTGTCGAATGACCATAAAACTAAGAACCCCAACCTCGGCCAAAAGTATATCTATTGACAGAGGTTCTTAAAGTGCGGCGGCTAACTGATTGGTGTTGTGGTGGCATGCAAGCCCCTTTGGTTATTTTGGCGGTTTTCCATGATGTTGTGGTTCTCCCCAAGCTCCTTTCCCGTCGTCGTCTCCGGTTTCGCGTCAACGGCATTCGAGAGTTGAAGTCGAACAACTCCCGCTCTCCCACCGCGCAACCCACGCGCCACGGCCCTCTTTGCCTCTGTCTTTGTCTCTCTCTTTCTGTTTCTCTCTCTCTCTCTCTCCCTCTCTCTCTCTCCCTCCCTCTCTCTCCCTCCTCGCCAAAATACGAGCATAGAATGTGCACAGAGATCAACGGCCGCCTGGCTGCCCTGGAGCGCCGCGTGGCGGCCACGGAAGCGGCGGTATCGATCCCGGAAAATTCCGGCGGCTCTGGCGTCAGCTTCACGGTCGGGGAGGCTGTTCGAGCAAACGGGCAGGTGGGCGGTGGGGGGGGGCGGGCGGGGGGGGGGGGGAA